AAAGATGTTACCTAGCCGGATAATGAAACGTTTGCAAGAAAAGAACCAAGAGAACCCCAAGGACTCCACAGGGTCCCATTATCAGCTGCTGAATTCTCTGAAGAAGGCAGCAACCAGGACAGGAACCAACATCATTGATTAGATTAGATTAGATTAGATTAGATTAGATTAGATTAGATTAGATTAGATTAGATTAGATTAGATGGCTGCCCATCTTGTAAAACACACAATTTTGGGTGGCTTACAACAAAAATAAAACCAAAAACAAGAAAGCCAAGAAAATCAGATGTCTGACCAACCATCTCCAATCCATACAATCCTTGGGCTCCAACTTTACCCTATCCCAGTGCCTGGGGGAAAAGACAGCCCTTTATGACTTTCCAGAAGGCTAAAAGGGTGGGGGCATGCCAGATGCAGGGGGAAGAGTGTTCCATAGGCAGAAGCTGCTACAGAAAAGGCAGGTTGTGGATCAGAATCACTCCTCAACAATGAGTTAATTCTAAAACAGATATACTTAGTAGCTTTTTCATAATCAATGAAATTTACGTTTTTTTAACAGTACGTAAAAGATCCACATCTATCACCTGCATATAGTAATGCAAAGTCTGGGAATATGTGAGCAACCATTTGGATTATGGATAGGTAAGGAGGGTACTAATACATATTTTAGAACAAGGAAAAGATTTTATTTGATAAATGAAGGGTATATGTTATACCCAGAGACTCATTCATTACATTTCTTGGCAATTTTCTAAAAACTACCAATGCTACAAAAGAAGTAACAGTTATCACTCAATTATCTTCCTAGAAAAGGAACCCGGTGCATGTAACATTAGCATAGTAATAGTAATCACCACCATGAGTCCTTATGAGATTACTGCTTTTAATCCAATGGGAAATATAAGCTAAAAGGTGATGCATCATGTCATATAGAGAGCAACTCACGGGACATTTGTGAACAACAGCCTAAGTGGTGACAGACCTCAAGAAATTATCACTTCCAGCCCATCATAAATTATTACAGCAGCTCAAAGAGAAGGGTATCTTGGGGATATTCCACATCTGTAATCCTTGATAAATACTTTAATGCCTACATACCCATATACCACATCTTGATGTTTCTGATTAAAGTAACCTTGTATAGATGTAGAAGATATGATTTTGCTTTGAAGCAGTCTTTGAGGCAACATATCCAAAGCCTGCCAAAAAAATGAAAAATAAGCAAAATAAAAACCAAACAGACCACTACAGGCACACAATTCATAAATACATATTATAAAAAGAAAAATATCCTTTCTAAAAAAATACAAACTAAATAATATCTATAAATGAAGGCATGGCTGCAACAAGCTCATTTGCAGAGGAAATTATTCTGTTTTTGAAAGAAAAAAACGTAATACTGGCTATATGGAATGTGTTTTATATACCAATCAAGATATTTCTGACTTGAAATCTATGTTCTTTAAAAATGCCACTTTTATTATTGTCTTATTAGTTTGAATTCAGGCAAACATAATGTTTCCTCTGTATCTTACTCCCTTGCCTTGCCATTTTAATCTTTCACACAGTCCTGGCACACAAGAGAATCACAACACAAATAGTTTGCCAATAACCTGCTGTATCGCAATCTATCCTTCAGTTATCTGCACCAGAATAAACAGTATACTAGTCAAGAGTTCACAATAAATTCCCTGAAAACTTCTTTAATATGGGATAGTATCAAAAAGAGGACAAGGGAGATATCGTCCCCTGTTGATCCTCAAAGACTAGGTTAAAGTTAAATATTCTGCCCCCACCCACCCATGAAGTGTATATCACCTTTCTGTGGAGTCCTTGGGGTTCTCTGAGCTTGGTTCTTTTCTTGCAAACGTTTCATTACCCGGCTAGGTAACATCTTCACTGCTAGAATGGAATGGGGTTTGCATTACTAGCCGGGTAATGAAACGTTTGCAAGAAAAGAACCAAGCTCAGAGAACCCCAAGGACTCCACAGAAAGGTGATATACACTTCATGGGTGGGTGGGGGCAGAATATTTAACTTTAACCTAGTCTTTGAGGATCAACAGGGGACGATATCTCCCTTGTCCTCTTTTTGATACTATCCCATATTAAAGAAGTTTTCAGGGAATTTATTGTGAACTCTTGACTAGTATACTGTTT